CTACGCGCTCTCAGCGTCAACTAGTGAAAATACCGACATTGTTTCTAACAACTTCAATAAATAGTGGCAATGATGACTCTGTTGGAGAAAGTCAATTTGTAGGTAGTACTGGCAACATTAATGGATCAACTGCGTTGGAATTCATTGGAAGCAATACAAGCACATTGTCTAGTGGGTCAGGAGTTTTTTTTTCAGAAGCAATAATGAATCTGGGGTCTCTGAAACCTAACTTTACTTATTTATATTAACTAACATTTTTTTGTGTTGGTTTTAACAACTTAATCTGGACCGAGATAAGAAACAATCTCAAAAAAATTTATAAAGTATTTTTTCCTGATAACAATATGCCTTGGTACTAAAAATTAATAATCTATTGCGCAATTATTATTAGATTTTGATCCTCAATGATACCATTCAGGATAAGAGGTAGTCAATAAAGGTTTTAATAATCTGGCTGTAGTTCTGAAGTTGATCGCGTCCGAAAAATGGTTGGTAAGGTGGTGTATGTCATCAATATACTCTAACACCGTGGGCAAAATAGCCAATCTGGCATAAATTTACATTTTTTAACAACAATTTTTATTGTTTAATTTTATTGAAATTTTTTATTTTTTAATCATAATTCCCGTTTACAATATTAAACAAATTTATTCGGGGTCAGAAGAATCGGAAGAACAGTTGCACGAAAGGTAATTTTCGGTTGAAAGTAAGGGGTTTACTTCTTCATCCAATTTACGAGCCTTACTTTTTTTCTTTGTTGGTTAGCATGTCAAAAATATTTAATAACCTTAAAGTCATTGAATAAACATTTCTTCATTGTGTCAAATGTTGCACCGAAAAGTGATATTTGCATAAAGCATTATTTTTTTGTTTTCATATAAGGAAAATGCTTCGAATGCTTGTCGAGGCATATGGTGATCATGATCTATCAGAAGAAACATGCAAAAGATGGTTTCAAAGGTTTAGAGATAATATTTTGATGTGAGAAGTAAAGAACGTGGGCCAAAAGTTTGAAGACGCCGAACTACAAGTAATATTGGATGAGGATGATACTTTGAGTCGAAAGAAAATGACAGGCATGTTCAATGTTGCACAACAAATAATTGTAGACTGTTTGAAAGCTGCGGGAAGGATACAATAATGTGGAAAATGGGTGCTACATGAATTTATTGAAAGAGAATTGTAAAACTGAAAAGACACATGTGAAATTTTGTTTCAAAGACACGAAAGAAAATCAGTTTTGCATCGAATTGTCACTGACGAATTTATTGAATGAATTATTCAACTAAATTGTGGTATATCACGAGCTTCTAAAACTTAGTCAAATTGTTAATGCTAATCTCTACATAAAACAAATGACCAATTTGAACCAGTAACTGATCGATAAACGACCGAAATACACGGCAAAGTAATTTTAGTACACGACAGTGCACCTGCACACAAAGTAAAATGGGTACAAGATACAATCAATGTATTGATTTCATCAGTATACGATGAACATTGAAGGAAAAGAAGTGTTTGTCTGACATCGCAGTGAATGAAATGACGAACAGTATCAAGAGTTTTTCGTCATTTAGTTATAATCCGTCAATTTTCCAACACTAGTGTTGCTCTCTGGAATCACAGTTTTATCGTAAAGACATTTTTGATGGCTTACAAACTCAGAACGTTTTGACATACGAGCACTATTTGTGTTGTTTACAGGAACTTAAAATATACTTTTCGACCACACAATGGAATTCAATCTCGAACATTTTCGTTGTACAAAACTTTATCTCACGAAGCGCCTCCAAGCAAATGGTTGCTTGTCTTTTTGTAGAGACTGGACATGTCTCACCATACCCAGAACAGTAAATTCTGAGTGGTAGAGAACTACACTGCCAGTTTTCTTTCAAGAAAGCAGGAAACCCAACCGCTGAAGACGGATCGCTCTTCATCTCGATTCGCTCGATTTAAACTGTCATCCCCTGTATTATCCTACTTGGTAATAACTTCTTTTTATTCCCGTTCGTAATAAATAATATAAGCGAACAACGTTTTTCAATACTCAAAGAGGCGGTTAATGTCTATAGATATTAATGGAGAACATTCTGAGAATAAAAAGGCTCTCACAAAATTTTAATGTATATTTGAAATATATTTTACAGACATCTTAAAATCATACGAATTTAATTCTTATAAACACAGAAGAGCTTATACGGCTCGGATGCGTCCAAATATTGAACTACCTTACTGATGTAAAATAAATTTGACAAATGACATTTCATTTTTACTTACTTATCTCTCATAGAAACCGAACCGAAATTATGTATATAGATGAGAGTTACTGAATTCGTATTTTCATTGAAATAAGTAGGGTAAAAATAGCTTTGAATAAAACTGGGACACCCTTGCGTTGTCGTTGCGCACGGGTTTGCAAAAATGTCAGAAATTAATACAGTATCACTTAAATTTAAGGGTTAATATAGGTGACAATATTACTACGTTAAGCTATTTCTTATGGTTTTCTATGAAAAAGCTTAGAAAAGCTCAGGAATTCTCGAGTCTGCGTACTGATTTACAATACGCCAGGACGATTCCTATAGAAATTTGTGTAAGCTATTATTAAAACTGATGTGTTTTTTCTGTAGTGTTATATAAAAATAATAACTAAGTGAAATAAAATATATAAATTTTCAATTGGTGAATTACATCTTTTGAAGTAAGTATGGGCTCCATTTACAATATTACATTGAAAGCGAGAACTGAAATTTTTGTGATACTGGCAAGATAAATCCTAGTTGCAGAGGGGTATTGATTTATGCCGTGTGATTTTTTTTCAAGAAAAAACTAGTTGCATAAGACATACAGAAAACTTAACTCTTCAAAAGTTATGATTTAAGTATATATATTATTAATTATTCAATGAGAATACATATCGTACTATCCACTGAAAAATTACCCGATGTCAGTGTCCACGTATGTATATATGTATGTAGGTGTGAAATTGTTATACGATACCGTAGTGTATCTTTTAATATATGTATATGTATGTAGATGTCCTTTTCTGTACAGTGAACATACATAATGTACATATATTATTTGTGTGTATGGTCAGTTTGCATATCTACAATGAATACAAGTTTGACTATAATCAGAGCTCAATAAAGTAAAACATGAAATAAAGATAGAGGCATTGATAACTAAAAAATAAAAATTTAGAAAGTTTAGAATATGTGCAACTGGAATTTCTATATTTTTTTGTTTATTAACGGGTTTTTGGGTTTGTATATTATAAACTTTTTTTCATTTTCATGTTATCACTTACAACGGTATTCCTTAACATTAAAGGCAGTAAGGAGCAATAGACTTCTTATAGAAGAATCGAAGTGCAAGAAAACAGCCCTCCGTTATACTCCAATGTTTCGGAAAACGTCGTTTTTATTGCTGGAGTGCATTGATCGAAAGTGTTTATAAAAGTAATGGATAAACCAAAATAATTTTTGGTTAAGGTGAATAAGATCCTTTCCAGTGATTAGAAATATTTTTTTTAAATCGTCTTTTATTTTGGATAAGGTGTACAATATGACGAATTTGTTTTTAACGAGTTAAATAAATAAAGAGGCATTACTGAAGCAAAATTACAGAAATATTTAAATATCTTTGGTTAATATTTATGTATGTATATAAATACATATTTTATTACACTTACTTTAACATGGACATACAACTTTTTAATAACAGTTTCGTAATTCGGAAACCAAATTGATAAATACCTAGTAGTATAATATTACTTGGTTTTGCGGAAGGATACTGAAGCTAGTATACAGGGTTTGTCGGGAAAGTAATAGGACTGAGTCGATTTAAAATATTATTTAAAAACATTCAAAATAGGTTCCTTCTGCGAGCAGCGCTGTCAGCGCGAATTCTAAGCATTGAAGGCGTCACGGTAGGCATTCTTCGGAAGTACTTGGAAACATTGCTCAAGCTGAACAAAACAGGATTCACATATGGTTCTTTGCGTTGTCAAACGAATTATTTTTGTAGAGCTCAAGCAGCATTTCAGAAATTTCAAATGGACTTTTAACGTTTCTTGGCTTCAATTAATATGGTACTCAACTAGATTGCTTTTGAATGTACCATACTGCTTTCTTGTATTTGGCAACAATCTTCGTCAAATAATGTTTCCAGATTTCAATTTCTTTACTTTTTTCCTACCCAGGACGTTCTTCGTCTTTCAAGCCAAAAACAACTATTAAATCGTGCCACCACCTTCAGCCAAGCAGGAAGGCTTTCGGCTTAGGTTTTCTTCATATTAAAGTAATGAAGAAGAACTGCGCTTACTACTACTTTTTCAGGCACATATTTGAATGAAAAAGTATTGTTGTATGCACAAATTAATAATTCTTACAAAACATTGATTGATCTTGAGAGTTTGACATTTCTGTATACTAATCTATAATAAGGAATGCCAGCAATAGCTAATAACATAAAAACTGGCGCCCATATACATGCAAATAGGGGTGTAGGAAATAGATACTTTTAAATGAATTTGTTTAATTTATTAGAGAGAATAATTCAATTTCAAATCTATGTATTTCAGTAATTCACAGAATAACATATTTATTTATTAATTTATTTACAGATGGAGTGCATTTTTAGTGCGTGTCATCGATTTACATGGGCAATGTTTTTTTTCCTGGCAATACTATTTCACATAAAAACAACAGGCAAGTATATAAGTAATAGGTATAAATATATATGGATGTACTTACTATATGTGTAACTAATTAATTGGTGTTTAAGGAATATTTTAACATAATTATTCTGGTATATATTCTTCTAAATGTTAATAAAAGAAACCAGGTAGAAACGACTACCCTTGACTTCAAAAAATTGAAAAAAATTTCATGGAAACATGTTTAAAGTAATTTCGTCAAAACAGCTTTAAAAGTTATAGACACTCTAACGGAAATCTCTGTTAGCGCTCTCGGGTAATTAACGTATTATTTAACTTTTATTTGACTTCTAGATAAGTTGGTGCGAATAAATAAAATTTACGCAATTTCTAATAAAATATTTTGTTAAATCGAATTTCGAATAATTATTGTTACTATAATGTAAAATATTTGTCATTTTTTATTTTAACTTCCAGCCTCTCACTCGGATGGACTATTCACATTAACTGATCATGATTCCCCAGCAGTGTCACCTAAATTTCTATCGCGCGGACATTTGTATAAAGTCATAGTTGGTGAAACTATAGAACTTCCTTGCAAGGTTCAAAATCTTGGATCTTTTGTTTTGTTATGGAGAAAAGGTTCTTCCGTTTTAACAGCGGGTCACTTAAAAATAACAAGGGATCAAAGATTCAAAATTGTGGGGGACTACAATCTTCAAATAGCAAGTGTGAAAACCCAGGACGCTGGTGATTATATTTGTCAACTAGGAGATCAAGAAAATCGGGATCAAGTTCATACTGTGGAAATTTTGGGTATTTATGGCTATTTTTAAAATTAAGTCGTTAGTTAGTCGTAATACCTTCTATGCTGACAATGATTGAATAATTTTACAATGAGGTTTTTAGCGCACAGTTTTACGTAACGTCACATAACTTTAGCATCCTTATGTCACAATTTGAAAAAAGAAACATCCTCTCCTACCAAAATCACACCTGATCCTAAATGACATAATTTAAATGTCATTAAAAATCTCCCACTTTACTATAAATCAAGCATAAATGAAGATTTTGATATAAAATTGAAATCTTTATTTTTACACAAACAAATTAATTTGGCATACAGGAAGGGTTCAATGAAAGGGCTTAATCGAAACTGTAAAGTTTCTCTAGTCCAACTTGAAATGTTTAACAAAACAATTTTAATAGTTATTATTAAGACATAATACATAAGTGTTATATGTATGTACTCGCATATTTATATATGTATATTGGTAATTGATTTCTCTTTTTCAGTACCGCCAACACTTCGTGCGTTACCGCACAATGGTCAAGTTACTGCTCGTAAAGGCAGTACCGTTACCTTGGAATGCAAGGCTTCGGGTAATCCAGTACCAACTATTTATTGGTTTAAAAAAGATGTGTTCGCGGGACCAACTCATTTATCTGATAGTTCAACATTAATATTGGAGAACGTCGATAGACATCATGCTGGAATCTATCAGTGTTCTGCGGATAATGGAGTGAAAGAACGCGTATCAATGGACATACAACTAACTATTCTTTGTAGGTTGACCAAATGGTTAAATGAAGTCAATTTAAGTATATAAAAAAAACACTTACAACCATTAAATTTTTATATAAAAGTAAATTAATGAATAGTTATTTTTAAAGAAAAAATTATTTTTGCAAAAGCTTGTTACACATAATTTTACGATTTTACGACTCTTTACGACGGGTTGTGAAAACCCAAATATATACGTATTATTAAAATTTAACTGTTTTTTATTTTGTATTTTAAAGCTCCACCTGAAATAACTGTCGAGAAGTCATGGGTTCATGCGGCCGAAGGTCATGATGTAGAACTTGCTTGCATAGTTCATGGAGATGTGAATTCTGAGGTAATGAGCTTATAAATTACATCTTTTTCCAAATATTTACCAAAAATTAATAATCCCCATTTTTGTTCTAAATATTTTGTTAAAAAATAAACACCAATTCAGTACCATAATCTTGTGATAGGCAAAGTATGATCGTTCCTTCTCTTGGTAAACCTGCATTGAATTGACTAGGGTGCACGGAAGCCACCGCGAAATAACTAAGAATGTCTAATAAAAGAACGCAATTGTGTGACAAGTTACCTAAAATTCTTCTGTTATATGTTTGTTAAAATTTACGTAGTGAAAGTCAATCTGCCAACCTCTTATGATTCATGAATTATGATCCAGAAGCGTTGATGTCATCAGCGTTCTATTGCTGTGGAATAGTTTATCGTTGCTTTATAAAACAAAAGTTTGCTTGGCATTGTGTATTCACATCAGATGATAATTTTCATTGCTTCAAGCACTGTTTCCATGAGAGATATTTATTTCGAATATTTATAACGAACCCTGATAAGGGACGACTACGTTACTCTCTATTGCATAATTTAAATGCCAATTAAGAGGGGCCCATCTTTATTGTGGGGGTGACTGTAATATGACCAATATGAAAGTTTTATTATTGAGCTTAAGAGAAAATCTTTTCTTTGAATAGTATACCTATCTATCAAAGTAAGGTCAAACGTCCATTTGATTTTACACCTCATTTATCGGTCAATAGCTGAGTTATATGTATGAGAGATTTATGAGAGACCGTTTTTATACTCCTGAGATACTGGAGTAGTATAATGGTTTTGTCCACCTGAAGAGTTAGATATTATATACTACTGTGATCAAACTGAAAATTTTTAATTTTTAATTTATACTTCGCGTGTTTTTCGATTCGGTATCTTTCTGCTAAATTTCACGTCAAAATATTCATTAGTATTTGAGATAGGCGTCGTTTTGTGAGGATCCGAAAGTGAATTTTTCGATTTTTACTATGTCTGAATTTATTGAACAAAGAAAGTATTGGTTGTTCGTGATCATTTCACCGCATTTTCAATATATATCGTGCCACTCCGAGGACACCGTTTTGACTCAATTGAGGATATAAAGCTGAATAGAAGAAGGCTCTGATGGCCATCACGACGGTTGATTTGTGCAAGTGCTATTTGCTATGATGAGTGGAATATTCGTTGGCATAAGTGTATTGAAGCGGGAGGGGATTACTTTGAATGATATGAAATGGACAAAATTGAATTTAATCACAGTAGTATACATATATAAATGATTAGGATGCTGAAACGAGTTGAAATCCAAGCGGCTGTCTGTCTCTCGTCTATGCAAACGATAACTTGAGTAAAAATTAAGATATCTTAATGAAACTTGGTCAGGACGAGTCCGAAGGTGGGCATAATCGATCCCCTGCCTTGCCCACAAAACGTCATTAACGGAAAACCTATAAAGTGTTACAAGTAAGCACTAAAATATAAAACTGTATTTTGGGACAGAAAAGTACACTTGTGGTCTAAAAGCCCAGATGCCGAATATGTGAATCAAGGTTCCAATCGCGAACTTTTTATCGTAAATATCAGTCAATCTGGGAGATAAATGATAGAAATTCGGAGAGAATCATTTTCTAGTGATAGAAAAAGGTTGAATCGGATCAATAATTTCTTTAGCCCCCATATACCTAATAAAAAAATTTACGAACTTCCAATAGACTTTACCACAAAAGTCTGTATTTGTGTTATAGTGGATAAAAACGGACGAAAACTTCTCCTAGCTTTCATATAGCCGATATATTGTTTTTTCGTATTTAAACCGTTTATGTTGGTCCATATGTGTGATATTTTAATGAAATTCGGTGGACAAATACTCTTAAAAGGTGTGGCGATCGTTTGGTTTGTGTTTTCCTCACAACATAATCAATTTAGCGTCTTTGGTTTAGTTTACGTCCCATCACGAAGCCAAGTGCAGTAATGAAACTAAATGAGTCGATGACATACATATGAATGTATGTATAATATATTTTAATAAGATACGAACTACCGGCAACTTTGTTGAATATATCAGTATCTCCCGATCTGAGCTCTACCTTACTTGTTGTGAATGTTAATAATATATACCATAATTAAGAAGTATCATTACAAAGTATAAATTTATTGATTAAATTGTTGAAATAAATATTTTTTATTTGCGTGACACCAACCAATTATATATATTAAAATATAATTCTTGCAGATGCTGTGGTATCAAAACTCTTTTCTATTAGATCCTACCGATAGAAGATCAATGCAGTCAAATGATGACAAATATACGTTAATAATTAGGAAATTTCAACCGTCTGACTTTGGAAATTATAGCTGCGTTGCCGATAACGCACTTGGTAGAACGAAAAAATATATTGAAGTCTCTGGACGTCCGGGTCCTGCAAACTTCATATCACCAGCTTTGAGTGGTTATCTCGATCATTATAATTTAACGTGGACTATTGAATCAATACCCGCACTTGATGAAATTAAACTTCTGTACAGACGACTATTGGTAAGGTTTTTTTTATTATCATGTTATGGCTTATGCCAGTTATAGTAGTAAGTAACAATAATAATACAATAATTATTAGATGTAATATAAATATTGGTACTTGCATATTAAATTTAAATTTTGATTTATTAGTTCTTCCATCAAAATGTATTAATATAATTATATCACTTAGATGAATGAAACGTATCAGCATCCAGGAAAATGGCATGAAAATCACATAAATCCAACATTAATTCGATTTGATAACACACACTTTATTATGTCACATGTGATAAAAAATTTGGAGCACAATGCAGTGTACGAGGCAATTGTACAAGCCAAGAATAAATATGGATGGAATGAGGTAACAATATCTTTTTCTTCTATGTATAAACAATAAAGTTTTTTGTTCATATTTCGAACACGCTCAAAGTTGGCGAGAATAATATTATATGAATATCTATGTATACCTTTCTTTATTTTCTTCCATTCTTATTAAATAATTCCTTCTGATTTTCTACTATAATATTATATTAAAAATTCAGTATGATCACAGAATCAAATTAATAATTTTCAAACCGCCAGATACCGACTTATGGCAGACTTGTTACCATAAGTATCGGCCAAACTAGGTATTGTATACTCGTGTCAGAGATGGATAAAATGGGTTTAATACTTCTTTACTATTGAGGATGGTTGGCCCTAAACGGGGACTCGTAACTCATATATCCAATACTACGAATTTTCGCAATATTCCTTTCCTTTCAAGAGAAAACTGAGATAGTGTCTTTTCAGAAAAATTAAATATCAAAATCGCTTCTCGACTACCAGACCACTATTGTGTCCTCCAATAGAGGATGGAGTCATGTGTAGAAGCTCACGACAGTGAGGAAAGTTCTCACTTACATATGACTCAATCAGCTCACGACTTCCGGTCTTTGACTAAGTGTTCTCTGGGTAGCCTAAGAACATCCGTTTGAAGGCGAGCTAAAGTGAGAAGGCGAAACAGCTCCTACATAGGGTTGTGCACTGGGTTTGGGAACCGCCACAAAAGCAACAACGTAACTCGGCTATACTCGCGTAAGGGTGTCTACGCCAATAAACAAGAAGGAAAATAGCAATTAAATAAAGTTTGTTGCTTGTTATCACAAAGAGCGAATTTGAAATCACTGTCTCATAGGGTTTCATCGAAGATAGTGAAAGTATGTATTGATATCTTTGTATCTAACATCATATTTCACGATAAACCTGAAAGGGGTTCCAGTATATAATCATATTCCTATTTGCTGTGAAGCAGTTGAACCAGCCAGAACACGCATCACTCTTTAATTAGACTTCGATAAAGAAGAAATGTACAAAGTACCCGAAATTGTAAATAAAACGAAAAATATTAACACTTTTTGGGATGGACTTCGGCTTCTTCAGTGAATTTCGTTTAATCTCTTCGATCGACTGAAAAAGGGTTCCTTGCCGATGATTGTTGACTTTCTTGCATGTCAAACTCATAAATCCATTTTTAGTCGGCAATTATAATGCTCTCCATAAATGTTGGATCGGAATTCGCTGATCAAGCATGTCCAAATAGATTTGTGGAACGGACTCGTGAGAGATGTCGAGCTCTTTTACCTGCTCTCTAAGCATGAATAGAATTTGATCTATCTAACTATCGATCAAGAGTATTAGTATATAATTTTTTCATTTTCAACTTCATCAGGAGCACAGGGTGGTTCAGAGGGGACATAATAAGGTCCATGTGGTGTAACAATGGGCATCCTAAAAGGCTAAGTGCGTCGTCATACATCCACCTTTCCTACATACCTAATTAAGTTGGTTCTAATATAAATATCGTACACATAAAGTAATACAACTATTAGAAGATAATTAGATACCAAATAATATTCTAATCCTTTGATGCTTCCGTAGTATATTTAACGATGAATTCCTTTGCAAAATTTTTTTAATATAAAGTTTGGCAACACCTAAAAGTACTCCGTCGGCATTTACATATATCTGCAAATTACGAATGTGTAAAATGTGCGGTTACACCTGAACTTAGCCCTTGCTTAGTGTTATTTAGTTTTGATACAAACACAAACACAACTTCCAGCTTTACAAATTAATCTCAGTATTAGTTTAGTTTATGTATATGTATTAAATATATTATATATTCTATATATAAATTACTTATACGTTATTCTTATTTCATTTATGCTATATATAAGTTATTTTTGCTTACAGATTAGTGACATTCATCAATTCTACACCAGAAATCACGACCTTTTGCTTGACATAGATATGGAGTACAAAATGGGAATTTCGAATGGAAAAGGGCATTCACATAATTCCAATATTATAAAGGCAGTATTTGCCTATGTAATTTTCCACAGTTTAAAAGTTTGTATTTAAGGACTTATTACTTTATTATTCATTCAAAAATGTGCCTTATACTTCAGTTCAATATTTAAATTAGTATTTTGAGCTTTGTTTTTGTTTTTTACAATACATTTTTTATAAAAGAGCTTAGAACACTACTTACTGGAAACCGTTCTATGTTGCAAATTATCCATATTATTTATTTTATATTTCACAATATATTATTTATAATATAAAAGTTTAGTATACTAGCCACTATAAACCTTTTCATGGGTAAAAAAAATAATCCGCTCTAAACGTCTTTCCAAAAATTTTTTCCTAATCATTAATAGCCAACATTTATTTGTTAACAAACTTTATTAACGGGTTACAATTACCTGCAACTTTTGTGAATTAGATTAAATAATGCAAAATAAAAAATTACTACTTGATTTAAATTTGGAAAGCGTTCGTAGCCTTATTACATTTATGAAACTTAAATATTTGTGTTCTTTACAGAGCTTGTTGAGCGTCTTCGAACGTGAAGAGTTGTATGTAATTTAAATATACATACGTACGTGGTTCAAAAAATTTTAGGGCCGTTTTCTCAACTAGATGATAGTTTTAACTGACGTAGCCGTTTTCGCCAAGTTATGGGTATTGTGAATGCGTAGGGAAAACAGTTCACAAAACTTGCATTATGGAGACGTAAAACTGGGTAAGCGCCACCATGTACGTGTACGTTTTTGTTGGCAAGGGGACGGCGAGGAACGACGCAGCAACCGTGCCGCTCGTGGTCGGGTGGCATGCTTGCATGTCTTTTTCCGTAATTGCTCGCTGCTACTCAATTCAGCAAACCATTTCAATTTGAAATTCTTTTCATGGCTCAGTTTCAGAGGAATATTTACATTATATTCGGAAATTTAAATTTTATTACCCCTTTTTTGTATGGAATATGCATATAAATATATGAATGCAAATATATCTAATATGCATATAATGATTGCGAGCGACAAAAGTGGTCTGAACGCTGTCTATGCAGCTGGTTTTTCTTATATTATATATTTTTTAGCTAACAACTGTAATTTCATTTTCCGGTTAGAAATTAATAAAAACTCCTTCTCTCGTAAAGTTTACGAGAAAGTTGCTAAGCAGATATTGAGAAAACCATGTTTCAAAAATTGCCAGCAAAAGTCTCGTTAAGCGCTAAACCATATATAGAGAAACGGGCCCTATGATTTCTTTTCTCATGTTAATAAAGTATTTTTAAGCGTGCTAAGTACTGGTAGCTTGCAATTTCGGTACTTTTATTGTGTGTGTTTTTTTTTAGAATTTTAACTCAAAACTTTTTATATTACAACGAAACTTAAATTTTATATTAAATATGCAATCATTGTATAATATTTTTATATGTAATTATATAAAAATCACTAATTTATTTTAATTACTGTTCTAATATCTATTTACTAACTATGGGTTTCATAAAACACTAACTGAAATGTCAAATCAAGACATATAGCTCATTTTCAAAGTGTTCAGGAGGTAAACCAGCTATGCGTTGATCTCATAATTCAAAGATGTTTTCTCATTTGTGTAGGACAACAATTAATACTCAGTATTTTACAATTATTACATATTACTATGTAATAGCAGAAAATGGAAAGAACATAATATTATTTAAAATTAAATACAAATCCTTAAAATGTTGTGTTGAAAGCAATATATATATTTACATATATTTAACAAAATAAACAAAATAAAATTTTGAGTGGGGAATACATAGAGAATAAAGTAATTAAAAAGTCTCAATATAAAAAAGTATTTACAAATATTATATCAAAAAAGTTGAATCTAATAAGACTGCTACCATTACATAGCACACATTGAAAATACACTCCATAAATTATTTTATTTAAAGGTTTTAAAACTAAAAATAGTAATATGAATGATTCCATATATTCTTATGCATCTGCATTTCTAAAAAACGAAAATAATTTTGGTGAAATTCTTTATAATATTTTTCATTAAATTGGTCTCTTTAAAAGTTTAAATCTTTGGTTGAACACAAACGCTTAGTCCACTATAACTTATTAACTTTAAGTCACCATTATTTTTCATTGTTAACTTGTCATAAATATTAGAAACTTCCGAGCCACAATTGGTGACACCAAAAAGGTATTCTTAAATACCTTGTATTTTCAACATGAGAAACATCGCCAATTGTTTAGTATAGTTAATAATATATGAAACTTTTACAAAAAATATTTAATAAGGTTGAATGATTTGTCTCGGTGTTAATGATTGGGAAAAATACAATAAAAACCTAATAACATAATTTCCAACTAGGCCTTCAATTAAAGCTCAGCGATAAACCCGTTTTTTATAGCTTTTGTTCAATATAAAACCTGTTCTAATTTTTATTAAAATACAAGTGGGGGTGACTTTTCAAACTAATATGATTTACAACCTACAAAGAAAAAATCGAAATATACATTTAAAAATAGTATTAAAATTAAAATCTTATTTGACACACATTTCTGTTGTTAATATTATCATTTTGATCTGTATGCACATACATATGTACATACATCAGAAACATATCATTGTTAAAACCGTACCCGTAACATACAATTGTTTTCTTTCTAGGAGAGACAGAATTAAAAATGTTTAATTAAAAAAATATATATTTTTTATGACAAACATATTTAACCTTTAAATAATTTCAAATTAAAATAGTCAATCCTAAATCCTAAAGAACAGTTTGGGTGTTTTACGAGAGCATCTGAGTTATGTTCCCATAACGGAAAGTTTATAACACCTACAAAATAACGATAAATGTTGCACGATCGCAATAATGAAACGAAATTATTTCTCAAAATTCTTTTGGGATCAATAGCTATGTCAGCGGGATTTATGTAAATCATATCAGTTATAAAATGCAACCAATGAGATTTGCAATGTTATTCTGCGAATTGAAATAGGAAAAACTGTGTCACACCTAAGCCCCTAAGTTCGAAAACAATTTTTAAGAGTTATTATAGAACACTTTTTCCTCTGGCGAGAATAAAACACATACACATATGAATTAGTTTAAAAAAATACTAAGGACGAGTCATTTTCATTTAACAAAACCTTTTTACAAGCATTAATGAAACTATTAGAAAGATTCCAAATTTAGTCACAGACCTCTCATACATTCATAAGGATCTCCGTCCTTCCGATTTTCTTTATTTCGTCTATTTCGGTCAGAGGTATATAACAACAAAACCAAGTGGAAAAGTTTGTCATAATCACAGCCTTAAGGGCGTTCGAACCCTTCCGTACTGTTTGTACCTTCCTTCCAAAGATATGAATAACATATCTGTCCATTTTTACTTAATTTTGAACTAGCCAAAAACATTTCCATTACTTCGATTCCCCTTAAAATTGTAGAATTTTCTTAAATAAGAGACGTTTTCAACGCACCAAACTTACTACATAAAATCAATTGAGACATTTTGTTTACGAGTTTAATTAGGTCACATTCGAAAATATGCCATAAATTCTATGTGAGAGATAGATAAAAATTAGTAATGTGTAAAATCGTGGTGTAGGTACCTAATAATAGAATTGAAAACATTTTCAATAATTTCTCATTAAAGAAAAAATGTTAACAAGAAATTTAAATCATTTCAAATTTAATATGTGTGCCACTTCAAATTTTTTCAATAAAATGTTAATATCTTGTGAGTTTTTTCTTTGTCGTAGAAGGTATAGAAATCCTTAAAATAATGTTTGGAGTTTGAATTTTTTGTTCGCCTAGTAAAATTTCCTTTTATTTCATTAATTTCTTTTTAATATCAATCCGAAGACGGCTTAAAGCTTGTGGCGACTAAAATTTAAAAAAAAAAAATGTATATTTGTTTATATGTAAATATTATCCGTTTAGTCTTTTTCTCTATATTAGAAATTATTGGTTGACATACTTATATTTAAATAATTTACACCATATTATTTGTTTTTAAGTCTTATAATAGAACGCTTTTTCCACTGGCGATGATAAAATACAGATATATGAAGCTAAGTGTTAATTTTCCTGTCTGAATAACGTTTTATTTAATTTTTAGAACAATCAAGTATTAAGCTAAAAAATAAAGAAAAATATTTTCCCACGCTATTTATATGGAAAATGAAATGTTAAGTGTAGGCACCTCTTAAAATTAATAATAACAGCTCAAAATTTAAGAGGATAATTTTTTTCTTCTTGAGAGCTTTTAGCCTGTTTTCAAGTTGAAAAAAAGATGCATAAAAGTGACAGAGCCTAGTACATTAATAGTATTCATTATTACTATTTAGCTACCATTACCATAAGCATGTATGTATATATTTTTAGCACATATGATACTCACATGGGAACGAGTGATAATGGTTAATTTAACTATTTTAGTAGGATTTATGTAATATTAAACAATTATTTATTGTACAAAAACATTAAACTGAAATTTGTAAATAAATAAAATTATAGTATTCCAATTAATAAAAATTCCACGGCAGCGACAAGAACTTAATTATAAATTGATAGTCATAGGATTGTGCGAAATATATTTTTAAGAATTAATACTTTTGTAATTAGTATTAATTTGGCGTTGCCTATACCTAAAATACATACAAAGTATGCATGAGTTGAGAAAAAATGTTAATAAAAATTTATAAGTATAACTATGTATATTGTGAAGTGCAGCTATTTTAAGGAATCACAAGCATGTCATATTACCACATATTTATTAATAGTATGTATGTATAGTATCTGTGCAATAGTTATAAGCAAATTTAAACGAACCCAAAACGAAAATAATTTGGATTGTTATTTTAATTATGTAGATGTATATTAAAATAACATATACTAAATGTTGTAATTAGTGCATAAAACTATTTGAGCTGCAAAAGGATTAGAAATATGATCAAGATATAACTTAAGTTAAGGATTTAATTGTCATTATTAAGAAGTAGTAATATTAAAAAGCACATAAAGAGCTCACCTTCTCTTCAACTTGAATATTAGTAATTTAAAATAAGAATTAATACATTTAGAAATGCATATACTTTAAAATAGTAAAGTACATACATACGTAGAAAATGGAAAATTCAGCTGCTAATAATAATAAAAGTATTTTCAAATAAAAACACCATATCAAAATCAAAACGACTTTTATATTTTATTTATTTATGAAAATAAAAAATATTATATTTATTATTGCTTTATAATAGGATGGAATCGTGTGTAAAAGTTCACACAAGTGATGAACGGTGTCTGAGCGCCATACTCTTGGAAGTGGCCAGAAGCGAGACCCGCCTTTTGATATCGACCATGGCAAACGTATTAAGGAATACGATTCAAGGCCACGAACCTGGAATGTCTGGTCCCTTAATAAGTAAGTTGCCGCTGCCCAGCTGGTTGATGTCCTAAAAATAAAGGCTAACATCACCGCCGTCTAAAAATGCGATAGACAAACAAATACTGAGAAGAGTAGGTCATTGTTACTACAGTTGCCATATAAAGGAGCGCAAATTCGGTGTGGGATTTGTGGTGGAAGTTCTTTAACATATCGCTGATTTGCCATCACTATGATACATTCTCTATGCGCTTGGAGCGCACCTATAAGAGCTGCCCACGCCAAGATGTCAAAATCGTGCTTGGCGAATTTAAAGGCAGGGCCGGCAAAGAAGGTATCTTTGGCGCTACGGTCGGAATGTTCAGTCTCCATGATGAAACATCCCTAAATGGGTTGAGGATGAGCTGGAAATGTGGTTATCTGTAGTACTAGATTCTAGCATAGGAAATTTCACCAAATTTTCTGGCTGTCTCCGAATGGAAAATCCAACAAACCAGATCAATCATGTTGTGATAGACGGAAAACACGTATCCACGTAGGAAGGTTCGACATCCAGAAGTTGCAATCACAACAGACAAGAGACAGATTGTCTACTCGACTTTCACTTATGCTTTCTGAGAGAAATCGTCAGCAACGCGGTATAAGATTGTGGGACGAAATTTAAAACTCCTTACGTCCAGCTGCAAACGAAACCATTGGTTTTTGGAAAATGCAAAAGAACAGCTGGTACGACGCGGAGTGCCGTGCCGCAGTGGAGAGAAAACAGACTGCCTTCTTCGCAAAGTTACAATCGACCACACGACCTACTCTTGGAGAAAATAATTCGAGCTGCAGAACTAAATAGAGAATGTACCATATTCTATAAGAGTGTACAACTAGATATTGATATCATTGGTCTTATCAACCGCGCCGTTACTTCTGCTTTTAGAATATATAAGTAAGTGAAGCAAATGGGTCTGGTGGTGAACGAGAGCAAGACAAAGTAGCTCCAATCATCAAACAAACAGTTGTCGCACTCGCGACTGTGCTCACACGTCACTGCCTTGACAGTCATAACTTCGAAGTCGTAGATAATTTCGTCTATCTTGGAATCATTATTAACACCAACAATAATGTCAGCCTCGAAATCCAACAGGGACTTCGGGTTGAGTAGGCAATTCAGAAGTAAAGTCCTCTTTCGACGAACAAAAATCAAACTCTATAACTCATTATTCCCATCCTGCTATGTGGTGCAGAAGCTTGCACGATGACAACAACCGATGAGTCGACGTTTTCGAGAAAAAAGTTCTGCGAAAGATTTATGGTAATTTACGCGTTGGCCACGGCTAATATCGCATTTATTGGAACGATGAGCTTTATGAGTTATACGATGACATTGACATAGTTCAGCGAATTAAGATACAGCGGCTACGCTGGCTAGGYCATGTTGTCCGAATGGATGAAAAGACTCCAACTCTGTAAGTATTCAATGCAGTACCCGCCGGGGGAAGCAGAGGATGAGGAAGACCTCCACTCCGTTGGAAAGACCAGACGGATTTGGCACCAAGCAGTGAGAAGGAAAAACGACTGGCGCGTTGTTGTTAACTCGGCTATACCCGCGTAAGCGATGTCTTCGCCAATAAAGAAGAAGAATTAAGAACTTTATTTTGAAGAATTCATGAATTTGGCACCGGTAAAAAATTTTTGCATTTTTATTTTTTTCAGGTTGTTATCAGAAAAAATCTGGCAATTAGCGGAATATGTTGTTGTAGTCCAATTTTATTAGCTAATTTCGAAGTTAATGGAAATTCTTGTGAACCGTTGCTAGGTATTTTAGCAGCAATTTTCCAAGAAATTTAGAGGGTTTGCGACATTCTGAAACAGGAAAAGGGAGTAAGCGAAAGGATCAAAAATCAGAGTCCCACTGCGTTCAATTTCCATGGTCAATCGTGTATAGAATGTGTATGTTTTTCTCGCAAATTCATCTTTAAAAACAATAGGTATTATAACATGGAAGTTAAGATCAGCGTAAATTATAATATCCTGGTATATCACTGCACAACCTGCGGTGCTAAAAAAATTTTGCCCACTTTAGTGCCAACAGAATTGACAAATTAATCTCCAACGCATTTATCGCAGCCAGCTTATCATACTCAGCGATAGTCAAGCGGCACTAAACGCGAGTAAAATCAATATAAGTGGTGAAGTGTGTGGGAAGACTGAACCACCTATCAGTTTGCAACAGTGCACACCTGATCTTGATGTACAGGTATAAAGGGGCAGTCAGCGAACGAGCCTGCTCTGCGGCGACTTTCAGTATAATGGAACCGGAACCATGCATTGCGGTGAGGTCTCACTCTATAAAAGAGTTGCTCCGTACGGAAAAGATATTGGAAGAGAACGGCACTGGCAGCAGGCAAGAGGAATGGGCCACGCCAAGCTGCTTTTGGAAGATTGCAACGTAGTAAAGTTTAGATGTGATCAACCTTCCTCCGAGACAAATTCCGTTTCTTTGCCGCTCTTTGCATTGAAGGCTTAAGAGACACTTGTCCAACATGGGCATAGCCACTTGTGCAAACTGCCAGTTATGCGACATGGAACCGGAAACTCCAAAATACCTGATTATATATTGCCCAGAAATTGTAGAAGCAGCTTCAAGGCCATTGGATCCATCCACGTGGACAGCGATTACATCCCCTCCGTTGCGCCCATCTATCTTCAAGACGTATTCAGACTTATTCTTTGTAACCATATATGATACAGAAGATGGTATAGTAGCATTTACGCTAAAGCAAAGAGCCAGAGCGAGTAAGATAATCACACCGACGTGTAGTAACTGTTGCAAAATACTTACATTTTTCCCGAATTTGAATAAAAAATAAATAAATTACTGGTATTCGGTTAGTGTTGGCTAAAAGTGGCCATAAACGACACACATGCGTTCGATCGGTATGTGTGCGGTTGCGGTTTACTCGTGTATCGGATTGTGCGCATACCGATCCATGCTCGCGAAAATATTTGATTTTTTACGATCGGTGCGCACACATGTGTGTCGTGTATAGCGCTGTGTGCACACAAAATTTCATTTCTCTTGTGTCGCCGAATAGTGAAGAGTGTTCAATTGCCCGATGCATCTCGCATGTGCATTTTTCGGACGGCGGGTAGGATGCAGGTCGCAATTTCTATCGGAAAAAAGAATTCAAAGAGATTCATATTTTTTAATAATTTATCTTCTAGTTAAACTAAGAAATTAAAAAAAAAGTGTAAAATTTAAAAAAAATTTTGAAAATTGAAAAATAAGTGGTTTTTGACCAACAATATTTTACTTTATGTTGTTTAAAAATATGTTCAAACTTGACTTTTCTTAGTCTTTTTTAGTTTAAATAGAAGATAATTTTATGCCAAAGATAATACACTTTGCCCCAATTCCATTAGACGTTTACTTTTTTTCTATCCTGCCCACCAATTAAGAATAATCGGAAAAATGAAAAACCGAGAAATCGCGCTTCAAAGTATTCGCTTTTTGCCCAAGCGTTCATCTATCTGCTAGACGCTCGGTCACTATTTACCTTCTAGCTTCGATAATATTTCGAATTCCAATCTATAACTTTGGGTACATATTCTCAGATAATTTTTAAAGAGATTTAAGCAAAGAAAGATAAAGTGTTTGAAGCCTCTAAAGCAGGCTGCCCCCTAAATAAAGATTTCGTATAGGAATTTATTTATCTTATAAAAAATGAATTGGCAATTTGGCAAATAAAAAGTGATAAATATAAAAAAAAAATTCAGAAAAATAAAAGTTAGAATAACTTATTAACGAAATACAAAGAAATAGATAAAAGAATGTGGCACTTTAGAAATAAATTCGAAGAAATGTTCCTCTCGCTTGCTTGTCTCACATGTTCACTGTGTGAAGAACAAATGCAAAATAGATTTGTACGTCGTATATGGCGCACGATATCATACAGATCGAGCGCACATGTGTTTGATGTATGGCTCCTTTAACTTTTATACGCCTACAATTTATTTCTCTATAAGTTGCTAAGATAATTATTTAGCAACTATTGTCAAATAAGCAATATTTTCTCTATTAATGCAATATTGATTTCAATTATATTAGTAATTTTTTATCGACTTTCGCAGTTATCGTTGTTGTTTACTATTATCTATTTGTGTAATAAACTTTGATTTTTGGAATATTAAAATATTATATTCGCAAAATGGAAAGTGAAATTGATTGCGTTGCTAGTTGCCCAGTGGGTTCGACAGCACCGAGAGATTCTATAAGTAGTACTGGATCTTCACTGTCTATTAGTAGTGCTTCAATATCAACGAAAACTGCACTTAATGAGTGCTCATTGGCTTGGATAAGTTATCTCAGTGCTTTGAATAGTTTGTGTACTGCTGGGAGTAAACTAGGAAGTACACTGACGGTAAAGCAAAATTATACGTACATATATATAATTGATAAATTTTGGAAATGCACGCTGAATTCGGGTTTAAAAAGAGGAAAACTTTGGAGGAAACATACGTATAGCACAAAAGACCTATAATTTTAGAATGTTCGCCTTTAAAGTCCTTAAATTTAAAAATTGTCTCGTGTTTACGTATTTTACACATGTTTTTACACATTTAACTAATCTTAAATAATTATCGAAATTATAAAGCGGCAACTCGAGCTCTTCGTCGGCAATGGGTCGGTAAAGGTGCTGATGGCGGTCAGTGCTTGTCGAATGTCCTCGACGTAATTGAGGAATTACCTCTTGATGTTCCTAGGAGGCGGTTCCGCTCCAAGAAGGGGCTGTAGTTCTGCGAAATATTGGAGCGGCGTAGTTGGGGACCGGCCGGCCGATTGTTTTGTACGTTGTCAACAACGTTTCTTTGTCCTTAGCGACTTGCGGATTTTGCTGCGGAAAGATCAACGCGACTGCCGTTTGCGTTTGCACACATCCAATTATTAGCGTGAGCGGTTGTGTAAACTCCCTCTGGCGGCTGTGGGAGTTTCCAGATATATAAGTTAAACAATAGCGGGGAGAGGACACCACCCTACTCGCTACTGTATATATCTAGCTAAAATATAAACTTAATATTAAGTTTTTGTACTAAAAATGTTTTAATATGACAAAGTATATTCACAAAATTTAGTAAGGATTATTGTCAAAGGCATCGCTATAATATCCCAGAGCAGATTACTATATGATATACACATGTGGCTGCCATTCAAACTGAACGATCAAAATCGATTAAAATACTCGTTCAAAGGATTTGATTGCTAAAATGTTCAACCAATGTATTCTTAATTAAAATTGTGTATGTTATACGACCCCATCACATTTGTTAACAATTGATTGTTAGATAAGGTTATGTAAGATACATTTATTGATAAATGTAATATGTATTATTAGTTAATTTTTTCCTTTTATAATTTTTTAGGTACTGGAACAGTGCGGTTTATTTGGAGAAAAAGCTCCAAAGGCTTATGCCGAGAAAAACTTTTTTCACAACCACCCATCCTCTTATTTAACGCACTACTGGAATGATTTAGCCAGGTGAGTCAACAAAAATGCCTATTGTCTTCAGCAATGGATACTTAATGCCATTTTTATATCAATTTTGAAAATACAACCACTTAATCCTATAAAGGGTATTACAGTTTTTTTGTTTGGTAAATGGTAAGAAAAAACCAAACCTTTCCCAGGAAGAAGTTCAAATTAGCATGACTTAAAAAAATATATATTTTTAACGTTGTTATGGAATCTATATTTTTATTAAGATATCAGTATTGCAACCCAAATTCAGGATTTTATACATTTTAAATATTATTCCAGAAGGAATAATTCGATTAATTCAAATAACAGGTTTGATTTAAGTGGAGGAAGAAAGTAGCATAATAGCCTTGACAGACGGCAGCTTTAATCCGTACGAACTGTCCACTTAATCAGATCCAATTTGCAGGTGACAGACGCCAGCTATGTGAGTTTGAAACTCCTGTAAACAGTGATTGCCATTTTTATAATATTTTCAATGAAAATGGATAGAAGATAAACATTGCGGTTGTTAGCCGACCAATTTTTACAAAACCATTTTTTATTACAAAAACATAGCAACACGCTATTTTTAAAACTGCATCATGGCATAACATCATAACATAAAACTTCTTGTTTTATTATTGAAAATTTGAAAAACGGCTGTCATTATTGCTTGTTTTTCATTCACAATAGATTAAAATTAACCATTTTTAACAATGCTGCTAACGAAAATGCAACTAACTCTCTAAAATTTTGAGGAATAAATTGGAGTTAGCAATGTAGTTATCTTCACCATTGTATTACCCTACCAAACCTAAATAAATATAAACAAATCGGGTACACTTCCATTGTAAACATTAACAATACAAGTCATAACAATCGGCTTGTGTTAATTTTAACAAAAACAAAAATTAATATAAAAAATCAGGTACAATTCAGGAACAACAACAATATTATTCAAAACAATCTACTAAGTAATAAATAATATTTACAAAATATTCTAAATAACCCACAGCGAAATACTTATTAAAACCCCTATCAAAGGAATAGTGGTGGAAAGAAGGGTCCTATACCTGGTACACGAAAACACTTAAAAAACAAAAAAATATTGATAATAAGCGTACAAACCTAATCGCTAAAATTCTCATTTCAAAATCACAGATCAAGGTGACTATGGAAATAAATATTTTTTTATAAAATTGGAAACGTTTAATAATATATTGATACAATAATTAATATTTTGGATAAAACTGATTAAATTTAATATTTAGGAATTTAAATAATCGAAAAAATTTGAATATTTTATAAAAATATTGTTAAAGTTCTGAAGTTGAAAACTTAACACGGCAACACACTATAGCAGATTTGAGGCATTTGAACGTTTTAGCACTAGAATATTTTTGCGTATGTGTTAGTGAAAAATGAAGGATTGGTTACTTGTAGGTTTATACAATGATCTTCACTAACTCCTGAATTAATCTGGATCCGGATTAATACAGTTGAATTCTATAAAACAGACAACGGCATTTTCCTTTTTTTCCATTTCACATCTTTTAATAATAATTATATGTAATTGTGATCGTTTACTAACCAATATAAAGTACTTAAAATTTCACTGTTCCCACGACAATCGGGTCTACGTAACCGGAACGGCCAAGAACTGTCAACTCGGCAGGATTCTGCCGAAACTACTTGTTCTCTCTCTCTCTGTATATTACTGAAATTCATCGTCAGCGATTTGTGTTGAAGTAAGTTCATTCGCAGATACTGCCGTGGATATTTCTTCGATTCGCGGCAAAGTTATTTTTATATATATTTTATATATATATATTTTATATTATAACGGTTTGATGACTCATGCCGAGCTCTTGACCGATGCTACGGCTGCTACTATGCCGGTCTCTTTCGAGCAATTCAACGATTATATCGCAACTTTCGACGACAGGCCTTCCGGAGCGGGGAGCATCTTCGACCACCTCTACACCAGAACGAAAACGTTGAAACCATCGTTGTGCGGTGGAAATAGAAACTGTATCGGGTCCATAAACTGCACAAATTTTATTGGCGGCTTGAGATGCATTTTTGCCTTTATCGTAGTAGCACTGTAAAATATGCCAGATTTTTTCTTTATTTTGCTCCATGTTTGCGTCGTTATAACTCACGAACGACTTAAAAGAAACGACAATCAATCAAACACGTGTTCGCGCGTGAAATGAGCTTTACAAAAAGGTATAGCATGATCCGATGCGACGAATAAAACTAGAACTAACCGCTCTCAGCGCCAACTAGCGAAAATACCGATACAGTTTTTACAACCTGATATAAGTAGTAATGTATTGCTCGATTGAGTTCCTGGGCAAAATTATGAATTATTTTCCTGAAGAAACGCAATGTTTCCCAGTTTAGTCCATGCTTTTGCTGGAAACCACCAACATCATACTCGGATACGAAAGCAAAATGATAACAAAGCTATCTCCTCTTTTCAGGCGACTGCTTGTGAGAGCATTTCACTGAAGTCCCTTGAGGGATGCGTAATGTAGTTTTTAGAGAATTTACTGAAAAAAGTATGCAGTTTTCGCTCTTTGTGAGTCATTCGAAAGCGCTTGCTTTTAAGAAAATTCCTGTTATAAGATTACATTTGAAATAATTAAACATAATTTAAGTTTAGGGAATTTAGGTAAAATGAATTGTTAGAAGCACACGCGTCAACTATTTTAAATATGCTCATATAGACTTTATTCCTAAAGCAAACAAACATGACTCTGAACTGGATCTTTTTTAGTTTTGCTTTCACTCACAGTTAAAGTATATTAAGCCTTCTACATTTCTTATAGAGCAACCGCAGTGGCTACAAGTACCGTCAAATCGCATATCATGGCCCTTTTACAAGAATTTGTTGTATTATCAACTCTCGACCCATCCTCGATTTGCGAAATAGAACAAAAGCGCTTGAGAGATCACAATGAGCTAATAATTATGGAGAATGCACAGGCTATGATAAATATACAACATCAATTCTGCGCCGCGAGTTATGACGCCTTTTCGTCTTTAACTTGCTGTTTTGTTTGTCAATCACCTGTAGGTTTCCCTCATGAGTCGGATTGTGCCATGATAAAGCAAAGGTATGTACCATAAAATATTTTTTTGATATTACAAAAATCTTATTTGCTTATTTTGATGAATTCTTAAATTACTAAAATGTTTCCATTGTAAAAATTTTTTTTTTAATAACTAAGTAAGGATTAAATTCGGACGTAAATGAACATTTTATATTCTCCCAATTTGCAAAATCAAAGGTGGAGAAATATATTAAAATTAAGCTACAAAAATAAAATTTCTGTTGCACCAAAGCTTTAATACCCAAACACAAAGGTTTCCTTTCATGAATTTCGATTGATCAGTTGAATGATATTACCTCCACTTCGTTGGAAAGATCAAATGGAGAAGGATCTACCTTCCCTTCGAAATCTCATTACTGACTGATTGATTTAAAGATGAGGAATGCACCGCGACATATGGTCTATTGTGCCCTCTCTTAAATCACATAGACTTACTTAGCCCCAGCGCATTGGTGAAGTCTAATAAACTACCGGTTTGTCGTGAGGCGGCAAGGGCCTTAATCCTTCGTATACAGACTGCTGTGCAGTCGATCAGCAGGTGTTCCGGGGTTTCAGTCTCCCTGTCGCAGAACCGGCAGTTAGCGCAAGAGGATATGCTCATGTTGTACAGATGCCTATTCAGTTTGCAATGGCCATGCGACCAGTAGCCTGAGCTTGATCCTGGGGAAGTTTATTAGAACTTTGAACCTACTCAAGTTGTATCCTCCAATTAGCAAGGTTCATTTCTATACACCGACTTATGGCAAAAACTTCTGCCTGGAGATGCTCGGTAACTCTCCTATGGGTATGGAAAGCATAGTGAGTGGGCCCACGATTCCTGCACCGATTCCCTCCGACATTTTCGAGTCATCGATGTTCCACCTCAACGTGCTATACCTCAGCATCAGCTCGAGATTGGAGTCGTTCCACTCGTCCTTGATGCCGAGGGTGACCTTAAACTTTTTCTTGAAGTTAACTGTTTTGGTAGTGCTGTCCTTCGGGTATATTGCCACTTATCTTTTAAATCCTCTGGAACGAGATTACCTTGCCTTTGCCACACCCCTCTGCCGATATTTGCTGAAGTGTGTACTTGGCTGCCTGACCGATAACCAAGTGAAGCGGAGTAAGTTCAAGCAAAACTCAAGTGCTGTCGTTGGTTAGGTGCGCATTGCGCATGTCATACAAACACAGGCTAGTCTGCTGTAGCTTCGATATTTTGATCTTTACCGAAGTCTGCGACGGTATTGAGGCCCAGGCCACCGCCCCGTACGTGATTATTGATCGCACTATCATGGTATACAACCACCTAACGATCTTTGGCTTACAGCCCCAAGATTTTCTCGCCAGCCGATTGCACACCATTACAGCTTTTGTTGCTTTGACCAAGGTCAGGTTTATATGCTGCTTCCATCGCAAAGTAGAATCTAGCATTAAACCGAGGTATTTGGCACTGTTGGTCATCCCTATCTCTCTGCCCCCAAGTGTGAGATTCCTGACACCGGGTAGGGACCTGCGTATCGGAAATTCAATTCAACCTCCTTACACCATCCATTGCCAGGTTTAGACCTCTTTGTATTAGGTCAGAGAGAATGTCCTCATATTTACCTTTGGCTATAATAACAATGTCGTCCGCATACCCTTGGTAGCGGATCCAATTGTCCGTTAGCAGTGCAAACAGGTCGTCTACGACCAGACTCCATAGCATCGGTGATAACACACCCCTCTGTGGGCAGCTTCTTGTTGTGCCGAGACGAATCCTTTTATCACCTACTGTGATCTCAGCAACTCTAGTGCTGCCACATTCCTTTTCTCCAGAGCCCTGGCTACACCAGGTTAGGCAGTAAAAACTGCTCCCCCTGTTGTAAGTTGAATTTCTCAAACGAGGCCATTGCCCATACGATCGAGTTCGCTGTAAATAGCTGTTTGGCGATTCTCCAATCCTCGCGAAACGGCCTGTGTTTGATGACGGGTAGACATTGGTCTTCCCGAACAGTCTCCGGAAAATGCGCCCGCAGAAGCTCCGTGGCTCTGTCCTCTGCGCTGGTCGTAAATGTCCCATCACCTCTTTTAATTGCTGTTACTGGGTCATTTGTGCCTCTGGCCAGAGCTTTATGCAAGCGAGCCGCTTCTGTATAAGGTGAGTTCTTATTGTATAAGGTGAGATAGCCCCTGTATTCCTCTCAGACCCCCATACGTTTCGCTTTGTTAAATAGGCTACGTACTTTTTTCCGGAGGTCTGCTTGTTTCCTTGACCACCAGGGACAGTTTCGTCTGTCTGTCGGCACTTTTAGGGGACAACTGCCATGATAAGCTTTAATAACATTACTGGCGTGCTATTGTTAACTATGCCAGTAAGGAAGAAATGATGTTTCAAAAAAATTTATTTTGCTAATTTGATAGGATTGTCTTTAATGACTATGCTAAATACGAGCGTGTACATCTCCGTAGTGCGTTGCGATTTTTACATTGGATAAAAATATCGGACAAAGAATTTGTCTCTAGTTTTGTGTTTCTAACCAAATGTCGTGTGCGGAATCGTTGCGTTCAAACATTTGCGAAGCTTATGGTGATTCAGTTTTATCAAAACCACAAGCTTACGAGTGGTGCAAAGCGTTCAAAGTCGGTTTCGAGTTCGTTGAAACATGTTTCGTTTTGGATGATCTTCGACCTCTTCAATTGATGAAAATATTAAAACAGTGAAGCAAATGAAAGCATAAGAAAGATGGTAAGAAAGCTCGACAACTCTATCGAGTCCGTTGAAGTGATTTTGGTGATTATTTTGCATATGAAATGCATTTTTGCTCGACTCGTTCCGATAAAGCTGAATCTTTTTGAAAAAGAGTGCATACGGTCAATAAGTAGATCTATTTGGCTGTATTGAGGCATTTGTGTGAGAACATCCGTTGAAAGATTGTGACCGAATTTAAACCCAAAAACGCAATGAATATCATTGCACCACCACCGTTTTCATCGGATTTGGCTCCCTGTGATGTTTTCTTGTTCCTCAAATTAAAATTGCCGCTCCGTGAAACCCGTGAACCCGTTTTCAGTCGATCGAAAAGATAAATCAAAGGAAGGCGATCACAAAAAGTGCCTATGAGAAGTGTGTAGAGGACTGGAAAAATCGCTGGCATAAGTGTATTATATCTGGTGGAGATTACTTTGAAGGCGACCAAATAAATTATGATGAATAATTAAATATCTTGCGTTTTATTCACAATTTCGTCAAATATTGAATGTCTAATTCACATGCAATATACATATTATATTATATACATATAATATATAAAGTCTAGCCAACCTCTGAAATAATTTCTCCACATTTAACCGTTACAAATTGCAATAGTTTGAAATGTTCGGCTACAACCGCGTTTATATCCTCCTTATTTGTTTCATGACACCAAAATCAAATATCTTTTTGGTAGCAGTGCAAATGCATTTCGTCGTATTTTTATACACGCAATATTTTGCAGAGTGTATAATAGTTTTGTTGTTTGTAACATCCAAAACCAGTCGAGGTACAGATATACTAGCAGAAATCATCGGCTAGCTTGCCCAATTTGTTGAGGTCCTTAGCATTACGCCTAATTGATCCAACAAGGCAGCGTCGAGTCACGTCAAGTTTAATTAAATACAGATCTCAGTTTGAGAGTTCTATTTGAAATCTCACATGCCTATGATCAAAAAACTAGGATGTACGAAGCCCATTCCAATCTTCAACAGTGATTATTTTGCAAACATGTAGTGTTATATGAAAAACGTTCTTCGTTTGACGCCGCCTGGTCGCATCGTCAAGACCTGCTCTAGATACTAGTCCAGATGCCGTGATGATGACGGCAGCATCGCCTATTGCCCTGTCAAGGACAAAGAGGACACCGATAAGAGATTTGTGCCGCCTATTTTTAATGTATAGACCATACATATAAACTTGTAGATAATTTCGTGTATTTAGGAACCAGTATAAACACCACCAACAATGTTAGTCTGGAATTCCAACGCAGGATTAATCTTGCCTGGGAAGGGAGTATCCATTAGTAGGTCGTATTCACTGTTATGGTATTGCTTTTGAAGATACTCAGTATTATATTACCTACTGTGAAATAAATTTCGGGGAGAAGCTTCTGCCGTAGTTTCGATATCATCACACAAACAATTCCAAGAGTTTTTATTCTGCTTTTTATTACTTTTTTTTGTTTGATCTCAGAACGTTGTAATAATTATTTCAATCCTCTTCATCCTGGCTTGATCTCGCTAAATTAAATTGCTTCCTGTAATTTTTTAATTTCACCATGAGGGTCGGCGCTATTGGTTAAGTCACCTCTAATGCTTGTCGGCAAGATTCCGTGAACCGTTTAACAAGGCTGTTTTGTACTGTTATTGAGTTGTAATTGGGGAGTCATAGGAATATCTCTTTTAGCGTTTACACCCGTCAGTTCGTTTTCTTATGATTCCTGAAATTGTTGACTCTGTCCACACTTTCTTTAACTATACCTTCAATATACCGGTGATCCGAAAAGCCTTCTACCGTTGTTGCGCAACCTACACTGAATGCCTTAAATTAATTAAAGATACACTCACATAATTTAACTGTTACCATGACGGTGACGAATCCGGATTGCGTAGTAGCACGGGTCGTGCGCCCCATTTGTCAGAGCAGCTTCCTCCCATTTTCATTGAGCACTAGACATTTTTATTTCGGGATCTCCGTCATCCTACCAATGTTAATGCGGTTCCGGACCACATCAGCAAATCATTTAGCTTTGTCTTCTGCGTAGCCTTTTCATCTGTCCTTTTACTGGCGGTTCAAGTTTAAAGTTGGCAGCTCTACTTTCGGCATCTCTTTGCCTTTCTTTTTTTGTAACTATACTTTGACTGTTGTAGCTTTGCTGGAGGTAGGCTTAGCATCAGCTCCAGTGTTAATGCAAGCCTTGCATCTAGCCATAGTTTAGCTTTTGTCTTTGTGTCGGCTATTTTCGAGCTAGTTACAAACATTACGCTTTTACTCCAGCCACACTGATCCTTGACACGAGTGGCAAGACACCTTGATCCAATCTCTTTTTTGGATGCCCAACGGCGGTAAGACTCTTCATTTAAATTCTGTGTTATTCAAAAACACCGAAAACCCAACTTTGAAGGTTGCCTTATATATTTCGGGAATGGAGAACACAAACAAATTTTAATCTTTGACGGCTCTAACTGAGGTATCTTCTAAACATGCCTTTTTTAACGCATCAGCCGCCTCTTCAGGAGTCAAAAACTTTGATCTCTTAGTTTATTTTTACGACATATAATAAAAAAGTCATTCGATGCCAAGTTATAGGATGACTCATCAAATCGATGTTTTCAGTGCTCAAAAATGCTTTTGTTTCTGTCGATGTGTGAGAGCTCACATCGTCCTGGTGAAGAGTGAACCGTCTTTAGAGAATGGTTTTCCTGATTCCTGGAAACAAAACTGGCAAACAAATGGTTTTGTGGTGGTATTCTGCGTTGTTCAATGTTATGGTTGCGACATGTTCAATTAAAAAAACAGGCAGCAGCTTGGTTGGAAGTTCTTTGTACGCGACCAAATTTTGTTCGATTAAGCTGTAACAGTCGACTGATGTGGACTTTAAGCGTAAATCCACAATTTATCACCAGTGACGGTGTCATAGACGTATTTTAAAACACCGCTATCGTATTTCGTTAGCATTTCTCTCGACCAATCGACACAAGCCAAATATAAAAGGCAACCTACGTAAGAAGTCAGACAGCAATATCTCCCAACTGAAACAGGGGCGTACTGTTACCAGTTCGTTGCCATCGTCGTGATGTTCGACATGGACTGTCATAACCTACATAACAATAATTGTTAAGGGTTAGGTGTAGTCAGAGATATGAAAAAGTTACAATTTTATGTAAGTATTTTGTTTTATAAAATCGACTTGACTTAACAGAATTTCCAAAAAAAAGTAAGAATTTTAAAAGTATTGACTATTTAAGTTGATCCAAGTGCAATTCATCTTAAATCAATCAACCAAAAAAATTTTATTAATATATAATCTAGTAGCTTGTTTTTTAAATGAACAAATCAACGGCCTGAAGAAATTTTGTTCCAGATTTTCGAAAAAAAGGTTAATTGTTTATGAAAAATCGAACAAAAATCATTCTATCAGGCACTAATTATTCATATTTAAAAGGCTATATAAATTTAATTGAGATTTACCAAGCGGTTTTCGAGGTAAAGTCAATTATCAAATAACTCGAAAAGTATTTGTTGGATTCACAAAAATCAGATCAGATTTGAAAAAAAGTGATCAAAGAATATTACAAATATATTATACTTTAAGAGTTCAAAAAGTTTGAACAAAATAATGTATTTGAAATATTTTATAAAATATTGGCTCCAGTGGCTTCAGTAGGTAGCAGTTATCAATTTATGATATTATTCACAGTCTTTTAAACAGTATTGACAAATTTTTTTGATTGTAATTGATTATAATAGCCACTGAATATTCTAAACAATTTGGAAGAACTAAAATCAACGTTGAGCTATTTTTTAAATTGTTTTAGTTTTTCTGAGAGACCGATCAAAAAAGAGTAATCAAAACGTTGTTTCCGCAGGATCGTTGTATCGAGAAAGAAGCTTCAATCGAGTTGTTGGTCGCCACTGTAAAGAGGTGAGAATCGCTGTGATGTCGTCGGGTGTGGTGTTCATAGTGTGGTGCATTGGGATGTGTCAGTGTTGTGCGTTGTAGAGTGGTGTGTTGATGTAGTGGTTGTGTGATTTCGGTAGAAATATAAAATATTACTTTGTTCAACAATCAATTTTAAACCTTAGATTCGATCATTATATATTTTTATTCTCATACCCATAAATATCTAGTAAATTATCCGTATAACTTATCTATTTATTAGTAGATTAAACACTGACGCACGATCTCAAACTCCCTCACCGAACTTTGGTGGAATTAACAAAATAGACACCTCTAGAGCTAGTTGCATAACAGAACAGCGGTCACATTTCCAAAGCTCTTTAACTGGTCAGCAACTAGATCAATCCACAAGTAAGTATAATATTTTTAAACTTAATTTCATATATACGACGAAAAATCGGGCTAGAGCATTTTTTTAGACGATTGACTAAAGTTTAAATATTGGTTTGAATATGTTTTAAAAGCAAAATATAATTTCATAACGCTCTTTTTAAATCCAGTTGGTTTTGTTATCAGCCGATTATTATGTGGTATAAGTCCTTGACACTATAAAATATTTGTGAAACTCCAGAGCAATGCCATACTATTTACTACTGCTCAGTTAAGATTTTCTGATGAGAATTTCAATGCAGATAAATCATCGTATTTTGAACCTGTATCCCAGCGATTTCGCAGTGTAATTGATGAGTTCGTAAAAGCAAGGTTTTGGTTTGAAGACTTGCTTTTATGGAATCGGAAGTTAGTTCAGAACTAAAATTTTGTTATTTGTTTAAAAGTCGTCGGATTAATTTTAGTCTGTCTAGGAGTAAACGGATGAAGTTATATGTATCTGTTAGTGTGTTTGATAAGTGCAAAAAAGAGTCCAAAGTATGCACTGATAGTGAAGATTCTCCAAACTTCTAGTATATAATTTTTGGTTGCTGAAAACTTGTAATCGAAGATCCCCATTGCATGCAAGAGTTCTACTCCAAAATATATAATGTGACTAAACATAATTCGGGCCTTCTATTCGAAAGCTTACCCTTATTTGTAATAATAAAATTCATATGTTTTTTTAGGTTTTTCCGAAACAAATGTTCTTACAAATTAATGTGACTCTACATTTTCTAAGCTTTTAAAAATCCCATGTTTACTTTAAATCAGCTTCATAGAAACGTTGTCAGAATGCTCTTCATGTATGAGTTGGATATTTCCACTTGAACCGTATGTAGGAAATGTTTAACAATAATTTACGCCCAATCTAAATAATAATCATTATTTATGTTGTTCGATATCGCATATCGATTTATGCCCATTAGCCAACTAATGACCATGTATCGTTTTTGTAGTTGTACCTACATGACACTTGTCGAGCTTCAAAAGCCGTTTGGCATATCTTTCTCTCCTATTTACTAAAAGTTAAATATTTAAAAAAAAATGTGTACCGGATATCATATGTCGTCGATATACATACCATGAATGCCATCTGATCAATTTCACTCGGACAGGACACTTTAAACTGTGCGCGGACATCGAATCGATAATTTTTTTCTAGTCTAGTCTGTGATGTAAACATTTTTTCATGCGATTTTTATATATAAGTAATGTTTTCCGAGGTGAACTTTTCAGTTTCGAAAATGGTAACAAATAACAGGAAATCAAACCTGTTAAATACGGTGGCTGAGCGACAACATTCGCTTCGTGCTTGACCAAAAATACTTCACAATATTGGTGGATTGAGATCACAAAACCTAGTCTTAATCTAGAGTTAACACATTAATATCCTCTGCTAAAGATAGTAGATAGAAAAAAATATCGGTTGGCGCACGGATTTTGAATAGACCTGTCCTGATCAAATTTGATCTTATGTGCATACATAAGAAAAGAGACCTGAAAACTGATCTGATACAGAATATCTGGTGACGTCCAATACTAGACATTGATTGATGATTGTTCATAAATACTAAATAAAATTGAAAAAATTTAAGCACATTGACATTAATATTCCTACGTAAATCAAATCATTGGCAGATGATTATTAAATGAAATTTGTTTCCATCTAGACGGTAACTTCGTAATACTCCCCACGTAGAAGCCCTCCTACTTGTTTTCGAGTAACTCGGACAGCCACTTCTCACCTTTCTCTCCTCAACTTTGCACCAACAAGTGCGTTCGCCATGCACAGAAACAGGTGGTAATCACTTGGCGCTATGTTCGGGTTATATGGTGGATGCGATAAAACCTTCCATCCGAGCTCCCGTAGCTTCTGACAAGTCATCAAAGAAGTGTAAGGTCAGGTTTTGTCCTGGTGGAACACTAAACACTTCCCATTGGCTAATAGTGGATAATTTCCTTCCAATCCCACCAAACACAGAGCAAAACCTTCCATGGCCGTCAATCGCCACTTGGCCACTGTTGAGCACGATTCACCGGCCTTCGACCACGACCAAATCGTCGAAACCATTCCTATGCAGTTCGAAGTGATAGAGTACCATCCCCCAAAACACAATTAATCTCACGGAACGTTTCTCTAGCCAATTTGCCTTTAACGACGGAAAACTTTAAAATATTACTCGAATTTTGGCGTTAGTGAACTCCATGTTTACACATCTACAACTGTTGAACGCAATATCTAAACTAATCATGCATAGCATCATTTTGTAGGTTATGTCAAGACCTTTCAAAAGTGTATAGTATTGACAGATACGAGCTCTGTAGCGCTTATACATACATAGTTAAAAGACAAAAAGGCGGAAGGGATATATTTGACAACCTGATTTACATAATTAATTTAATTAGAAATTTCCTACATTAATTATAGAAAATACTACCAAACTTTATTTTTATGATTAATTATTTACATACTTTAAAGATTCAATGGATCCAACTCGCGGACCTTCGCCGCTGCAGGCTATATTTGAAAACACGAAAGGTCCACTACCAAACCCAGGACATTTGCTAGCAATGAAAAGTCCGTTTGCTAGAGGGGAGAGGTCTCCACTGAATATTCCTTTATTCCCTTTGAACGGTCAACGTCGATGGTCTGAAGCTGCTGCAGGTGAAGTGATAGATGAAAATTCAACCGATGCCGAAAATCAAATGAGACGATGGTCTATGCCATGGGAAGCTGTAAAAACGGATCAAAATACAGTCACATGGTATCAAACTCGAATAATGCCTATAAATAATATTAACTTACTTAATCATAAAACGCCGTGTTCTGATAGAAGCGTATCTAATACACCTGGTACGTTGAAAAATAACAGGGATATTTATGGAATTTTTATTAACCATTTTCGATTTTCCATTTTAGATCTAAACTGGCAATCTTACGCAACAAGTCACGACGGGTTGACAGAAGCAATTCAGTTGCTCTCCTGTCGACCTTCAAGAGTTCCAGCTCAAGGTTTACAAGGATACACTCCGCAGCACACGAATATTCAAAACATTGAGTAATTATTAATCATTGGATATGCGATAACAACATATCTATATGAGTTTTTTAAATATAAGAATTAGAATCAGATCTCTGAGTTTCAAACCAATTTAGGTATTTTGATATTCTAGCCCTTCCAATAGCGAGTGTAGCTACCACAGAGTGTAATAGTTTTCATTACCTAACGATTGTATGTAAAACCAAAAACTAATAAGAGATAAATATGGTGTTATATGAATATCAAATATATGAAAAAAGGAGTTGAAGAGGACTTCAGAAGGTTGGTATTGCAAATGAGCCACGTCTATAAAATGCCGCTAATCGAAAATATATAATAATCATAAATGGTGCCGGACAGCAGACACAGTTCTGCTTAAGAGTGCTGCCGAGTAAAGAGTAAATGAGTTATAGTAAGAAGTTGTAAACTCAAATAACGAGTAATAAAGTGTTAAGTGGTTTGAATTAGAAATAAAGATAAATGGATAGCCATTAAATTGGGCCTTTTAATTAACAATCCAGTAATCAAACTTATTGCTGATTTCAGTGTTCTACGTTTGCCATCTTGACGTGAGCTTCAACTATAAATACATATAGTAATAATACATTGATCGCCTGCATTAGACACCTTTTAGGCAAATATACAGTGACGTGAATTGCCTCTCTTCTCAAAAACTCTTACAGCTTTGCATGTATACGCAAACTCGGCAATACCGTTTTGCTGGAATATATACATTTTCTCCTTAAAAAGCTGCTCATTTATAGGAACTGCCGATATCGGATCACTAAAGCATATAGGTGACTACAAATGAAACGATTGTATGGGACAACTCTTTTATTAAACAAGATCTTCAAGAAATGCAGGGTCGTTTATTACAATGCTGCGGTACACTCATCCAACAAATTGTTTAGATCGAACCCAAAATAGCATGATAATATTTTTGTTTAATTTTTCTTTGATGCGAAGAATGTGTACCTATCTGAGTTTGGTGGTTTGAGGTGTTTGTTCTTGAGCGAATGCAATACACTTCTGCAGCCAAATATTTGGGTAAGCTCCATTTTCGCGTGGTATCTCTTTTCTCTTCTTATCCAAGTTGCCGTACCGGTATCGCCTTGGAGGATCTCATTATTTGCTGTTTACTTGCATTTTGTTTTTATTTTAATTGAAACCGATGAGACCTTCCACTGCTGTTCGCATAAACTTCTTCATCATTTGCAAGTCGCTTTTTTGTTGTTATATTGGTTTCGGCGGGGTCGGACCATAAAGAGAGGGGTGTTAGATGAGTAGAATTAGGTGAGTATGCAAAGTGCTTGTTAGAGTCGTGCGGGAACTCGTTGAATGCTGGATACATATTTGGTATACCCGGATTGATTCTGGATAAGGACTAGTTTAACCTTCAACAGTATCCAGAACGAAGCTCCGCAAGGGTCACTGCATGGAGATATCAAGAGACATCCCGTTATAATCCAAAAAGTGTTCTGAGATTGGTTCCTTGCAAAGACGAAATGATAAAGGTCGGAGAGATAGCCCTTTACTTTTGAGTACATGCCATCGATTTCAATGCCCGTCGTCAATAGCGTACAATCATCGGTGTATGAGGGGATATAAATTCCCTCTGGTGGTTGAGGTTCAGAAAAGTAGAGATTAAGCAGTAACGGGAAGAGGATACCACCCTGCGGAGCACCATGTCTAATTCTCTAATTTGTTTTTATTTCGAATCAGTAAATATAATTGGCGACCGCTCAGGTATGTCATAGTCCACCTCTTCCACACTGGAGGGATTGTTTTATGTCCTCAAGTAGCGTGGTGGTGTTAAAGGTAACGGTGTTAAAGGCTTTTCACAAGGTTGCTCTTGGTTTATATCATGAACTATCTAGGCGTTTATGACGCTAAGTGCTGTGGTGGTGGGTGGTGTGCACTTTGGGGAAGCTATGATGCTGATCTGCTAGACTCAGGTAGTAAGTGAATGTCGGGTCTAGCAAGGCCTCAATCATCTTCAATACTAGTGAAAGTAGAGTTATCCCCTTTTCTGGGGAACGGCAATAAAAAAAACATTGCAAATGAGTTGAATGTACTGTTCAAACTGTACTCTATTAGCTATCAGTGAATTTAAAATGCATAATGGCATAAGAAACGTAACGAGATCTGGCTCAATTCTAGGCTCTCTGAAGACCGAAATCTTCTATAAGAATTAAAAAAATCCCGCTCTGCAGACCATCGGAATTGGTGACGAAACAACAAACCAGTTAACTTACAGTTCGATTACATTAAAGTCGTAGATTTTAAGACAAGGATTTGTGGTATTTATCAAAGAAAAACATGCTTAAAAGATGGTCCTTCTTAAAGGAACATTTGAACAAGACACGTACCGCAAAACTGCTAATGAAGGGTTACAACCTCAAGAGGTTTAAACTCATAATCAATCTCCCAAGAGATAAAGTCAGGCTACTGGTCGCCTTTTACACCGGCCATTGCAAACTCAAGAAGCACTTGTTTAACATGGGCCTAGCTTCTTGCGCAAATGGTCGGTTCTGCGACCGGGAATCCGAAACTCCAGAACACCTGCTAATGGATTGCCCAGCAAYCTGCAGACGCAGGATTAAGGCCCTTGGATCCATGTTTCTAAATAGGGATCACATCGCCTCATTAGCACCTAGSAGRATAYTGGAATTCATCAATTTGCTGGGGCTAAGTGAGACGCTGTGAGTTGGTAGAGGGCACAATAGCCCCTAGGTCGCGGTGCAATCCTCATTCTTTGTCTTATCTTATCTTACAAGACAAATGAGTGCTGCAGAAGCGTGAAAGAAAGCAATTTTGTAAAATTGAGTAATATAATGGTGTTACCATTTCGGACTATTAGTCTCAAAGTCTAAATTGAAATATTATTATGGACATCTGTGATCTCTTGAAATTCGGAAAAATAGTTTCGCAAAATAAACCTAGATATGAAACAGTTTCTGCGGTAACTTTCTTATGGGAAAACATATTTCCAGATTACGTAAAACTTTGTGAATTCAGTACCGAGTCAAAAAAATAGTCCAGCCAAAGGGGGTTATAAATTTAACTAAAGTCTCCTCCATTTCTTCACTTTTGTTAAGTTTTATCCTGGTATTCTTTGTTGTTCTAAGTATAATATACTTACATATGTATGTCAACAAAAGAAATTAATAACAAATATTTTTAAGTTTCCATGATATAATATTTTATTGCTGATTTCGAAGTATTTTTTAGTTGAGAGAATTTAATTTTTAAGAATTTAAAATACTTGTCGACTAGTGTGCTCTGTGGCAACAGGATTAAAAAATAAAGTCCACTTCTCGCTAAAATTATTTATTTTTATTTTTTTAAACAGGAAAAACAAAAACCTTGTTATATCGTACAATTTACTTTTTTCCAAAGCCTTGCAGTCAGTAAAAAAACTGAACATACATGAATTTAAATATTCAATGCATTATAAAAATATATAAATTAATATAGCTTTGATTTAATTTCTTTTCCAGAAAAGGAGATAAATCACAATATACTTATCTTACAAAATTATGTAAAAACAATCATTTAAACATCAATTTGATTTTATAGGAAGTCTCGAATGCACTTCATGATTCGTTAAATAATGGAGTCACTGCACGAAGGAAGTTGACTTCGAACTCTTCTTCCGAAAATCTTTCCACTGATGATCTGAAAATACAAATAAAATTTAAAAAACCTTATAATCGTAGTACCTCTCGTTTAAAAAGGGAAGATCCAAGTTAAACACCAATATGACAAAAGATCTCTACTTAATTTAAATAGAATAATACTTGGACCAACTTAAACGGTTTAAAATCAGGGGATAAGTCAGGAAATCGGGTATATTAGTTTGCTGTCTAAGTTTCACTAAGTCTGAAGTATCACTTATTGGCGAGATGTACGACGGCATAGTTTAATGAATTAAGAGGCAGGCTACGCTGGCTAGGTCAAGGAGTAAGACCTCCACTCCGTTGGAAGGACCAAGTGGAGAAGGACCTGGCTTCGCTTGGAATATCCAATTGGCGCCACGTAGCGAAAAGAAGAAACGACTGGCGCGCTATTATTTACTCGGCTATAATCGCGTAAGCGGTGTCTACGAAAGTAAAGAAGAAGTTTCACTAAGATTCCTCACATATTGACAAATTTATATGGAAAAGTCAAGCGAAAATTTGAGAATCCTTACATAGGGCACATGAAGACCAGGGAAAGATTAGATGCGATTTTATACTTTGTGACACACGGGCGCATAATTATTAATAATCTTTCTGGATTTTCATAATTGATCTCAGTTTGGTCAATAATTTCAAAAGAAATTCAGCAATATACATTGAGGTCCACATATGTATCATAAAAATTTATGATTTGACAATTTCCAGAAGTGAGAGACCATAAATTAAAGACATTTTTATGCAAGATTATATATCGCTAACTTCATTGATGCTAAATAATCGAATGAAACTTAAATTTGTGATATAAGAGAAGTAGGCGTGATTGTAGACTGATTTCGCCCGTGTTCCAATGTTTATACAGATTCATCTGAGACTTTTAAGCATCACCTTGGCTTAACGCATCTGATGCATTAAATTGTGATAATTCACTAATCACAATTTAATTAATTTTTAACATAACCTGCATACTTCCATTCTTGGCATCAGATTAAAGTTTTGTACCAATTCTAATTTTTTGTAGAAATGTTGAAAATATTAAAAAATAGAAATAGCATTTGCTGGTATCCGTAATACAAGTACAATATGACCCATTGAATAAACTCTAAGATTGTATACTATTACAACCAAATAAGATTATAATATTATTTTAGACGATTTCACTTACCTCGCTGAATTTCGAATTGTGTCATTTAATTCTTTCGAATTATATATAATGCTTAGAATGCAATTCGCGTATTCAATAGCGGAAACTGCTAAATATCCATTTTGGCTTCCTTCAGACGTCTCGATAATATCTAATAAAGGCCCTCCTGATCGGTGAGCAACCATTATGATACCAGCAGCCATGCATTCAACCACTCCGATTCCAAAGTGTTCATTCCACATTGTATGAATTCCAATTCCTGCTTTTTGATATAACTGCAGAAGATCTTGAAAATGAACGTTAACTTTGAATTCCACTGAGTTTTCAAGTGACAGATGCTTTGCCAAATCTTGCATGTTCTTAAGACGTTCATAATCGCTTTCATTTCGACATGAACCGACAATGACAAGTTTTACTTTATTCCATAAATCTTCATTTCTAGATAAAATAGTTCGTAGTTCATACATTGCTTGCAATTGCAGTGGATGATCTTTTTCCGGTCGGAATTGACCAATAGATAAAATTAAAATATTATCTGTATTTTCATTGCGTTTCAGCTTTTTAATATTCTTCACTTCGCAGGGCGGGTATACGCGATGAGTTTTAAATGGTACTCCCCATAAATCGCGAATATGATTTTCAGTCCATGTGGAATTAACCATAATAGTATCAGAG